TCATAAATCACATATTTGGCCCTTTCAAGATGACTCGGAGATGGCACACATTGGGTGCATAAGCTCCTGTTGTTTTATTTTTGCCATTTCCTGGTCATCCTAAAATGAACCTGTCTTGTCTTTGGGCTGTGGTAGGTGTCTCCTACTTGATCCTTCTGTTGATACGGTTCTTGCTGAGCTTTCTATTTGATAGTTTTCATTTCCAAGCACTTTAAGTTAGATTCCCCCATCTGTGTATTTACCTCAATAAGGAATATACCAACAGGAAAAAATTAATCCTCCATACCCTATGTTGATAGCCTTACCTCACTCAGCTATTTATTTATGTTTTCTGAATTAACTCAGGAATTTGTATCATCTTTCATTTTATTGAGCATTCTTAAAAGTATTCTTCTGAAGTCCTTGTCCAGGATTTCATCTAATTCGCTTTCATTAGAACACGTGTTTGGAGGAATTATGTTGTCATTTAAATTTTTTTTTCATTTTTTAAAATTTTATTTAAGTTTATTTACTTTACATCAAAAGGGTGCCCCTCCCTTCTCTCCTTTTAGTCGCCCTCTCCCTCCTTCTCTTTCCTCTCTCTGTTTCTCCACAGAAAAGGGGAGTCCCCTCCTCCCCATCAACCCTCCCCCGCACATCAAATCACATCAGGACTGAGCACATCCTCATCCCCTGAAGCCAGCAAGGCAGCGCTGCCAGGGGGTGGTGATCCAAAAGCAGGCAATAGAGTCCATGTTAGAAACAGCCCCCCTCTCCACTTGCCAGGTGACCCATATGAAGACCAAGCCACCTGTTGGCCACATACATGCAGAGGACCTAGGTCCAGACCAGGCACGCTCCTTAGTTGATGTCTCAGTCTCTGAAAGCCCCCATGGGCCTGGGTTAATTGTCTCTGAAGTGTGGGGTTTTTAAAAGAGGGTCTCAGGATAGACCCAAAATTTCGATAGCCAGAATCTGGAAACAACCCAGATGTCCCTCAATGGAGGAATGGATATAGAAATTGTGGTACATTTACACAATGGAATACTCCTAAGCTATTTTAAAAAAGAAAATCATGAAATCTGCAGGCAAATGGCTAGAACTAGAAAAGATCATCCTGAGTGAGGTAGCCCAGACCCAGGAAGACACACCTGGCACGGGCTCACTTATACGCAGATATTAGACGTACGGCACAGGATAACCACAGCACAATCCACAGCCCCAAAGAAGCAAAGTACCAAGGAGGGCCCAAGGGAGGGTGTCAGAATGTCACTCAGAAGGGGAAATAGAATAGAAAGCAGAACTGGATGAAGAGAGGGAACTGGGCAGGAGACGGAACGGGGAGGGAAACAAGAATGGGGTCATTTATTTTTTAATTTTTGTATTTTGTATGCTTCTGCAATGGGACTTCAACAACTGGGACTCGGCCATGAGTTGGTTGTTTTGGTTAACTATATTATTTTCTTTTTTAATTTTATTTTTTTTCACAATTTATTCATTATATATCCCAATTGAAGCTCCCCCTCAACTCCTCCCAGTCCCACCCTCACTTCCTCTTCACCCCCGATCCCCTTCCCCTAGTCCATTGAAAGGGGGAGTTCTCCACCATTTATTTCCATCTGACCCTAGCTATCAAGTCTCATCAGGACTGCTTGCATCCTCTTCCTCCATGGCCTGGCAAGTGATCAAAGAGCAGGCAACTGAGTTCACGATAGAGGCAGCCCCTGCTCCCCTCACTCGGAGATCCACATGGAGACTGAGGTGCCAATTGGCCACATCTGAGCAGGGGTCTAGGTCCTCTCGTGCATGGTCCTCTGTTGGTGCATCAGTCTCTGCAGGATCCCCAGGACTCAGATCCTGTAGCTTTGTTGGTCTCCTTGTGGGGTTCCTGTCCCCTCCATGTCCCTCTATCCCCAGACCCCTCCCTTCTTCCATTAGATACCCTGTGTTATGCCCGAAGTTTGGCCATGAGTCTCAGCATCTGCTTCGATCCCCTGTTGGGTGAATCCTTTCAGAGGACCCTCTGTAGCAGGCCCCCACCCTGTATTATTTTCTTTGCTGTGTTGTTTCTGAGACAGGGTTCGCTATGTGGTTTTGGCTTTTCTGGACTCTCTTTTGTAAACAGGCTGCCCTCAAACTCACAGTGATCCTCCTGCCTCTGCCTCTCTGAGTGCTGGGATTATAGGCGTATGCCGCCATGCCTGGCTCTTCCTCACTTGTTAATACCACAGTTTCTTTATCGATTAATCAGTTGATGGGCATTTAAGTTGCTTTTACCTCTCGGCTATTGTGGACGATATTGTGATAACACGGGTGTGCGCATAGCTCTCTGAGACTGCTCTAACTACTTTTGGGTACAGTCTACCCAGAGCATGCTTTGTTAGTCATATGGTAAATCTATTTTTCTTTAGGAAAACAGAATTATTTTATTTTTTTCTCTTTTTTTCTTTGAATGTCCCTTATTTCTTTTTAAAGCTTGCTTGATTGCTTTGGCTAGGACTCCTAGTATTATCTTGAATATAAAACATTAGAGTAGGCACTTTTGCCTTGTTCCTTATTACTTTAGGGAAAAGCTTTCAGTTTTTACCATTTAAGTTTTAATGCTTTAGTATTAAATGGGAATGTTATATATAATTAAAGATGTTTGTTGTATAAGCATCAATTCCCTAAAAATGGGGAGCATGCATATTTTTATTTGAGATTATGAAGGACAGGTATAAAAAAGCTAGCATAAAAGGTAGGAGCTCAAATTAATAAGCTTGTGTTTTCTTCCAGATCAGTCACTAATTGTTGACTCTCCTGTAGACAAGCTTTCTTATTCCTCCTCTAATTATTTATTTTCTCTTCCATAAAGTGAGGTAATGTTGTTAGGTTCATTTTGCCTCCTGAAGCTCCTATGAGTCTAAATTAGACTAAAGTTTGTATGTAAACTACTTTATGTTAATTAGTGATCAGAATAACATTAGTAAAATGCAGGCTTATATCAAGTCTTTTTATAGGAAAAGATTATTGAGATCTTCACTTTTATCTGAAGAGAAAAGAAAACTTTGTAAAGCTGGTAATTTAAATTTGCATATATGCTAATCTTTAACAGTAGCTACTACCCACACATAAATAACTATGTATTTACATATAGTGCTTTGAATAAGTATGCAAAAGTTCATTGACTATAAAGATAATTATTTTCAATAATGTTTTATTTTTTGAAAGATCCGTATGTTTATGAAATGTATATTGTCCATAGCTTTCCACTGCTACCTAACTCCCGAACCCTATCTCCCTTCTATGTCCTCTTCTCATTTTATTTCTTATTAGCGAACCCCTGAGTCCAGTTAGTGATGCCCATGGGTATGTGGCCACCCTTGGGGCACAAACGGGCTCCAGGCAGCTGCATCCCCCAAGGAGAGTGACCCTCTCACCCTTGGCGGAGCCCCTCCACCCCTGGGCTGGAACTTGAACTGTCCAGCTGTGTGGATTGTAAACATCAGTGTGCGGCAGCCACGCCGTGTCCAGAGGACACTCCTCCTCAGCTCTGGCAGTCTTCCTGCCCCCTCGTCTTCAAAGTTCCCTGAGCTTTGATAGTGAGAGGTTGACGCAGAGGTCCTAACCAGAGCGGGGCACTGGGGTCTTTATTCTCACACTTTGACCAGTTCTGTATCTCTGCATTAACCACTACCCACTGCAAAAAGACATTTCTCTAATCAACGTGGAAGATTTCCTGAGATAGCGTCTCCCTATGTCTTTCTGGCTGGCCTAGAACTACCTATATAGACTAGGTTGGCTTCGAACTTGGGACTTTTTTCTGTCTCTGCTTCCCAAGGGCTGGGATTACAGGCATGAACTACTAATGCCTAGAAAAAAAAATGTAAATTTTAGTTGTAGATTTTATTCCTTTTTCCCTTACCCGTTGTATTTCTTTTCCTTTTTAATCTAGATCATCTAAGCCAGATTTGGGTTAGGTTCTGATTGTAATTCATGTTAAAGTACACCTCTGTAGATCTGAAAAACTAGAAAACAAGTTATTTGCTCTGAAAATACAACAGTGAGGTAAGCATAGGACAATAACAGATATTGCAGTTCAAAAAGGAAGACAATGGACAGAGGGAGAGAAGGCCCACGCAGATGGGAAATGCAACGAGGAAACCCCATTAGACCTCACAGCCTGGGAATTATCATTAGCAGTACATGGCTCTTAAAGATCTTCTTCCCTGTCTTACTGAAAAGAAAACTTTGTTTTGCAACTATGCAATCTTAGCCCATTTCCTGTCTCTGAAGCTTGAGAGCTGTTTGCTTTTTCTTTTCATGCTGTTCCTTTTGGCCTAGGTTGACAATGTTCTGCTGGGGCAAAGTTCTCAAGAACCTTGTGCATCTTTCAGGTGAGCCATGCAGAAAAGGCTCGCTCAGGATTTCTCCTAGGTGTTCTTGTAAATGTTATTTGATTTTGTTGAGGTAGCTGAGAGCTGGTTTTTGGCTTTCCCACTGTGATAGACTGTATCCCCTCAAACAGTAAGCCAAAATAAACCCTTTTTTCCCCAAGTTGGGTTTTGTTTTGTTTTGTTTTTGCGGGGGGAGGCAATCAGGTGTTTGGCCACAGCAATGGGAAAAGTAGATAATACTTCATTGATTTCCAAATGTTCTTTGATCTCATATTTTTCCCCCTTTTTATTCTAAACATCATTGTCAGAACACAATCCAAGAATGGAATCATAGGCTGGAAAGATGGTTCAGTGGTTAAGAGCTCTGGCTGCCCTTTGAGGACTTAGGTTCAATTCCCAGCACCTACATGACAGCTCGCAACTGTCTGTAACTACAGTTCCAAGTGATCTTATACAGACATACATTCAGGCAAAACACCAATGTGTGTGCACACACACATACAAATAATAATAATAATAATAATAATAATAATAATAATAATAATAATAAT